AGTTTCTATTTTTTTTGCGCAGATAAATGATTATATGATAGATATCCTGGATGATGCTTTTATTTCCCACAACTGGCATATGATCCACATAAAAGCATGAACTGATTAAGTTTTAGTTTTCGGGAAAAATCAATATCAATCTTTCTAAGTTCATGAGAATACATAATAGATCGTGCAGATCTGCTACTGATATAACGAATATGAATAGCAGGCTTATTTGTCCACTAAATCAATGATTAGACTAATAATAATAAATTATGAAAATGAAATAAAAAAGAAAGCGTTTGCTAACAGTCGATTATCTTTGGAAAAAAACTAATGTTTTTTAGAGATTTAAGGATTCGTGTATTTTGTGTTAGAATTTAGATTCGGAAGCCGGTATGCTTTGAATGAAGTTCCACACTTACGAACCACATCCACACCTTCTTTTCGTTGTCTAGATTCTTACAGCAATACGTCGTCTAGTTTTTCCGTTGATGTCACCACAGATCGGGAAGAAGGTAATAGTAATAGTTAGATATTATTAATAAGTTTTGATTATATATACGATGTTTTTTTATAAATTTCTAATCCGTTCCAACATTTTATACCTTCGACTAAAGAGAAAGCCATATGAAATAAAATGAGTTTGCGTGTACAAGCAGGCCGTAAAAAGTCAATGATGGGATGGGACAAGCGATTAAAACTTGAAATAGATATTTTTTTTTCTTGTTCTGTTTGATATTCGAGGTCCTCGGATTCACCGAAACTAGTGTCCTTATAAACATCCTCCTATCGAGCATCGATTCTCGATGGCTTAGATCGATTTTGATCACTCGAAAACCATCGAATTATTGGGTAGTCGAAGTGAGAAAACCTATCGGAAAGCTGAGTGTGGGTGTGGGCGTGAATGCACTTGTAACTAAAACCCACACCCACATCCTTTATTGAGTAGCCAGTAATTGGAATCATCTGGATCAGCAACAGGAAAATATGATATCACAGATGGGTATTGATAATGTACACAGATGGCAACTGTTTTCGAATAATTTTCTTCAATCATAGATTGGATAGAGAAAGGTCCACATGAATTCATCCTATGCAAAAATACATAACAAACCGTGTCTAATTATAAAGATAACCACAATGAATTCAGTTCGAACATCGGCTACATTCAATATCGTTTTTTTCAGGATAGAAGTTCACTTTGTTACTTGAAAAGAGAAATTTCTTTTTAAGATTGCAACCATGATTGACTATAACGATAGAAACTGCGAATCATTGATTTCACCATGAACATTGAGTTCTCGAAACCACGTGAAGAAGAAAAAACAACATGATGTTATTTTCATCCTTTTCTAGTATAAAACACCGTCTCTAACTGAAAGCTGTATGATAAGAACAAAAATATATTATGCACAGCAGTTTTTTTTCTCTTACTTACGAGATGTATTTGAATCTTTTTTTTCGCACGTCACTGCTATATCTAGTGATCGTTTTGATTTTGCTCGTCGTTCTCATTCTCTATGCAAAGTTGATCTGACCTGAGAAACGAATCTACGATGAATTTTGACATCAAAGAATCCCAGGTGAAGCATATGTTCCCTTGATTGATCAGTTACCTCAAATGTATCATGCTCGACAACACAACAGTACTCTAGTCTATGTGAACAGAAATACAAAAACATGGACAATGTTATACCGTTGCGATAGGTTTCTTGATGCGTCTCGCCGTCAATGAACCCGACATGATTGAGGATATTCTCGGTCAATCATATGCCCAACATTATGGTAAATCGGCGGTATTTGCTCGCATTTCTAAGCCATTGATTGGCTCACCTAATCTTCTGGTGAGTGGAGATGTCGAACATGAGCGAGCTCGAAAAATGCTCAATCCTGCATTTTATCATACTGTTATTTACCGTTTTCAGCTGGTAAACGCAATTGTATTGGACAACATTTTGCGTTACTCGAAGCTAAAGTAATTTTGTCGATGTTCATTCAACGATGCAATTTCGAATTGGAACCTGGCCAATCGATGGCGCCAGATTTTATTATTACTATGAGATCCAAATATGATTTCCGTACTCTAATTACTCAGCGAATATAACATTTTCGTATCAAACAAAGTCTTACTGCTCACGATCAATTTTTAATAACATGAAATTGATAAGGGAATTTTTAGTTGTTCCTTAATTTGAACAATATTTGCATTCATTAACCAATCCTTAGGACATTTTCATTTTTGAAAAAAACTTATGATCGCACTTGACAGTGCTGGTGTCTGCAGGTTTGTAGCTGTATGCATGCCTTCTCTTATCGTGCGCATTCATTCATACTCATACATTTTAAAGGCATAGAGTCTCTACTCGATTACCGGTCCAATAGTCATAGTTATTATTTTATACCTATGATCTATTTCAGAATTAAGTATCTCTTGAAAATACTAGTTGACGGCAGTTACCATCGATCATTCTATTCAATTGTAGGAGTTTCACAATAAAAAAAGTTAACAATTTTTCTTTCATGACATATATATGCTAATGTTCATTACTACATGTACTGAAGAACATTTATCTTCGATTTCAACTAGACATTTTCAATTTAGCGTGGACTTATTCAGTACTAAGTTTCTGTGTGAAGCTTTTTTTGATTGTCACTTCCTGATGTTATTGACATAGGTTGTCGTAGTTACTGTCATGAAAACTGTATCTTTCATACATCCTTCCAATATGTAGGTTGCCAATAATAAAAAAAAAAGTGTGATGTTGTCGGACAGACCAAGAAAGAAGCAAATAACGAAATACCCCGAGGTAGCACGGAACATTTTCATAGATGAAACTGAGAACGAGTATCGTTATTGGAGCCGATAGTTCAAGTATGCCAAGTAAGAAGGGAATCTTCGTAGTTGTGCTCACCGTCCATCACAGTCTGTTTAATGACAATTTCAATAAATTCACATGCGATATTTACCATGTGGATGTGGGTGTGGGTGTAGTTGAAGAGTAGATGAAAATTCACTTTGACTCCGACACCCACACCCTAAAAATGAAATATCGTACTTGTCTAAAAAAATTATTACAAATAAAATATGGAATTTTTGAGTATTTATTCATTGCTCCGTTAAATTGAAACTGCATTTGTTTGCCGAGACTAACAAGACGATATTACTATTTATTAAAGCTCAATTATGTTGTCATAGTGAATAATATTTGCAATTTGAATAGATCAATTCATAAAAACATTTCGAATCCGTCAGTTTTACACTTGTCATAATTACATTTCAAACAGTTAAACTTGATCAAATTCAACGTTGTGGTATGTAAGAATCGTTACACTTATTTGCTAGCCTTAATGAACATTGCATGGATCAGAAAATGTATGGACAAAAAAAACAATCACGAAAACTACCAGCAGTTTCATGATGCTCATATTTCATTCATACAAACTACAAAACTAAAACTTTGAGAAAGGAATTTCAAGAATCTATTCGAGAAATATCTCATTTGATAAAAAGAATTTCGTGTTATAAAACTGTATACATGGTAATTCCTTCAGTTTTAACTATTTAAGGATTTCTGGTTTAAAGCTAGATCACCTATACAGATCGTTTTTTTTGTTTCACAACAAGCTGCATTTCTCTGCTAATTTGAATAGACTCAAAAATATCTTTATGAATTTGAATACGACAAAAACAAAATTATTCAACGGATATAATATGTTTGACATGTAAATAGCAACATGCCTTTTCTTGATAGACGTAAGTTATCCTATCATCCTGTCGATAATCAATTTTTTTTATAAACTATGTTCATTATTTTCTTACACTTTTCCGTGAGTTCAATATTCTGTTGAACCAAATCGATTGAATTTATCTGAACAATACCAATGTGTTATGTTTTAGTATGAATTTTTTTCCATTTAAAAATCTGTTTTATTCTACAAATGACTCATGCAATGTCAACATTACAATTAAGTTGTGCAACTCGGATAAAAAATATCTGATAGAAAAAGAAAGAAAATTTAAATCAATACACATTATATTAACAAAACAGGTAATAACAAATGAAAGTTAACATCAATTTAATAGTTTCTTCGTCGAAAAAAATGATCTTTTATCAAAATTAATTCATTTAATTAAAGATTCGACTGTTTTCATCGTTCGATAATTCTTTATTTATCAATTGCTATTCATTTTCGAATAGAGAAGTCAACAATTGTTTGTTTGTCTTTTTTTTTCTGTCACGTTTTTTCATATTTGTCTATTGACATCATTTAGACACATAAAAACTGATAAGGTAGATAAATAATTTATCTCAAGAAAAAAAAGGCAACCAAAAAAGAATTACTTCCTAGTATAGAAAGAAGTTCAAATATTTTTTTTAAGATATATTTATTTTGTATCAAGCAAAAACTGAATACGAAAACAAATTAATTTTCAGAAGCAATTATTTTGACGAAACTATGGCAACAAATGTTCCATCTGATAATAATGCATTCGCATATAATAGCAGCATTGAAAATTTTATTCTAATTTGGCTTGATGCTGATGTGAATAGAATGGAAGAAAATTTGAATGCACAAAAAGAGCTACGTACCATCATCAATAATATTCAAACATTCGAAATTATTGATCAATGTGAAGAATACATCAAATGTCAAATGAATCAATATCAATTTATTCTCATCGTAAGCGGACGACTCGGTCAAGAATTAATGCTTCGTATTCATGAATTTCCTCAAGTTTTAGCAATCTATGTTTTCTGCATGGATCAAGAAAAAAGTTTAACATGGGCACGGAACTATAATAAAGTAGAGTAATCTTATTGAATTTAACTTGAATTTATTGTCGATTTAGATTAAAGCTGTTATCATTGACTTGAACAAACTTATATCCTTAATCCAGGAAGATTATAGAAATTGGACGAATATGAAATTAAGAGTACTGATGAATTCGAAATCAGGTTAATTTATTCTTTTGTTTTCTTAAGGAGAGTCTCGTCTGGAATTTTTATTACTGATAGAGTATCTAAAACAAGGAGATGCATGTTCACATATCACATCAAACTTTATTCAATTGAGCTAAACATAATTTTTAAGATATGTTACTCTATATTTTGAAAGAGACATTAACCAATTTAATTTTCAGAGAATACTTAAAAATATCTATCTATAATAAAGATTTTAACTGAATTCAATAAAATATGCGTGGATCTTATGAGAAATCAGAATTTTTCAGACAACAAGCAGAAAATCTTGTTTACATTTTTAAAATAAAATGTAGTATAAATGTAACTCTTGCATTTTCTTTATTCAGTTAATCAAGGAACAATAGCATCAAACCAAATAAATGAAGCAATTGATTATGGTAATGATCTTGCCATATTTCAATTTTCATTGAAAGATCTTGTCAATGCAGGCGAACTTCAATATACCGATAAAAAAATGAAAGATATCGCTAGTGATCTTGTAAAAAAGTTCAAAGGTGAATTTAATCACAATCTGAATTTGCTTATTCTCGACGCCATACAACCAATGATGTATTTGCTCAAGCGTGAACAAAATCTATCTGACTTTTTGGAACCACTAAAAAGTTTACTCTCGAAAGAAAATAATATTCCATGTATTAGTCAACGTTGGTTAGTCGACGTAATGATGATCAATTCAAATCGATTTCTTTGTCGACGTTTAACATTTCTTCTTAGCAAACGTAATCCAGTACCGATGATTCAACCACCTACCAACAATGGATACCGTTTTGTATCGAGTATCATTCATGTCTGGGATTCAAGTCGACCTATTTTACTCTCATTCGGTGTAGGTAAATGCAAAGGTAAAACTCCTCTTATTAATGCCTTGTTCGAAACGAACTTTGAAGAGTCAATGAATAGTCCGTACTTTCATGAAACAATCGATATTGATTTCGGCTACCATTTTGTTGAACGACGTTCTGTAAATGTTGCTGATATTCATGGTAATATTTCAATCGAAACTCTCAAACATATTTGTCAATTATTCAATGGTTTTCTCGTTCATGTTCAGTCAAGGTATTTCATCTCGAATATATCGGATGTTATTGAATTTTTATGTGTGCTTTCTCATCCAAGTTATATTCTATTGCTTATACGTGATCTTGACGATGAGAATGGTGAAGAAGTTCAAACAGCTATCACAAGAGTATGTTCGATGTGTTCGAATTGTCAGATCTTCCATTTGCCAAATGTTGCTGACAAGAATACTTATATAAATAAAGAAAAAATTGAACAGTTACGCGAACAAATTTTTGACAATGCTGTCAAATTTTCTCATTCAAACAAACACAATATCCAAAAACATCTCGAACAACTTATGAATATCGTTCAACAGAGAAATGCTGATCAAGATAAAGTTTTTATTGAATCTATTCGACCAGTTCTTATTCATGGAAAAGAACAGGATTATCCACTCTATTCATTGTTTACTCGTATGTGTGATACAAGACTCAAAATAGCCAAGATGGATCCGTATAATGCCGATTTTCAAGATAAAAAGCTTTATGATCTTCAGAGCACATTGTTTCAACTTAGTGCAGAATTAGAAAAGCAGCAACGAGCTGGTTTTCAAGCAACTGGTCAAGCATTTCAATTTTTCTTCAAACAATTCATTCAAAACAAAGAAGAACAATTGAATAACTTGAATTTATTATCTATTGAATTGAAACATGAACGAGATAAGAACACAGTTCTAAATCATATGACATCGTTCTATCAACAATTGTCACTTGAAATCCATTGGCGAAATGCTATGATTTGTTCGAAAAATATATCAGATGCTGAACAAAGAATACTTATCGATGCATATTACAATTATATTGATGAAGGAAATCCTTTTGAAATTGTCGATGGTGATAATTTCGAAATGCAAGGCGAATTTTTAATAAAAGTAATGCATTTATTTCATAACAAAAAATTTTTTATTATGAGTATAATCGGACCACAGAATAGTGGTAAAAGTACACTGCTTAATTTCTTATTTGGTACTTTATTTGAAGTACGTGAAGGACGATGTACTCGAGGTAAGTTTACATAAATTTAACGATTATTTTACTATAGTTTAACTATGTAGAAGAAATTTTCCATTGAGAATTTGTTGATTATTATTTTAAACATTTCAATATTGTAGGTGTCTATGGAACATTAGTAAAAATTAGATCGAAAGAAGTTACGCATAATCTAATACCACCTGATTACGATTATATTTTGTTAATTGATACCGAAGGTTTATTGTCTATCGAGAAAGGTGACGAACAATATGATAAACGTTTGATTCTCTTTTGTTTGGCTATATCACATTTAGTAATTATCAATATTAGTGGTGAAATTCATGAAACATTGAAACAGATGCTTATTCTATGTACACAGTCTCTCAATTATCTTGGAGAAACTCGTGTAACTCGACCAACAGTTCATTTTGTTCTTAATCAAAAAGCTGATCCGAACAAAGCCAATTGTGAGAAACAAGTAAAAATCATTCGAGATGATTTGATAGAAAATGGTCTCAATAATTTAATTGATCTTGGATCGAATAATTTTCATGTTTTATCGACAGCATTTAATCGAAAGCCATTTTTAGATCCGAATGGAGAATGTGCTGCATTATCAACCGATATTAAATTTGTTACAAATGTTCAAAAGTTATGCAAACTTTTTATTGATTCATCATTTCAAATAATTCGTGATACTGATGATCGTTTTTCAATACCAACAAAATGGATTGAATTTGCTAATAGTGTACTTCAAATCATCAAAAAATATCCAGATTTAACTTATTTCAAAGATATTTTTGAACGTGAACAAAACAATAAAATACGACAAGATATTCGAAATGATTTTGAACAATATTTATCACCAATACAAGCTCAATTGTTAATCAATAGAGAAAAAAACAATAGTAATAGTCGTATTCAAGATTTATTTCAAATTGAACAAGATAAAATTTTAAAAATTCTTGAATCAAATCTTGAACAAAAAATAGCAAAAAATGCAGTAAGTGAAAATGTTCGTCAACGATTATATCGTTTTATGCAAGTACAAGTAACAAGTCGATTTCGTTCATGGGAAGTGTCAGCTATCATGGCAGGTGAACGAGACAAATTAAATAAAATGATACATGATAGTGATGCTGAACTTCGACAACTTGCCTATGATACAACAGGCAGAAATCATTTTATTGATAAAGCTTCGGCAATTGATAAATTTGAGAGGATGTGGAAAAATCGATTTGCTTGTATTAGAGCAGAATTCGATTCGGAAACTCAATGGAAACAATCGATTGATTTAGTTTGCCGTCTCTATGATGTATTTGATCAAGATGCTTTACCATCATTCGATAATGTTCTCGTCTATTTACCTTTTCTCATGACACTCGATACGTCCGATCAATCTGATTTTCTTCATCAAAGTTTATTAAAAATCTCTACTGAATTTATATCGAAAGCTTCTAATATTAATCCTCTCGTTCCGCATACAACAAATAAAGTTTACACAATATGTTTTTCTGATTTACAGAAATCGTATACATTTCTCAACGATGATTTATTACTAGCAATATTTTACGGCGATAAAAATACTAGTATACGAACAAGAAGTATATTTAGACTGGGTATACGCCAAGATTTTTCTCAAGAAATTAATAACAAATGGCAAACAATTGTTCGAGTATCGTATTGTTTCGAAATATTAATTGAACGTATAAACGAAATCTTTGAATTAAAAATTAATGATGATGAATCTTCAACTGAAATTATTCTTCTACAAGATATATTGGGAATAGTCAATAAATTAATACAAGATATGAATCAAGAATTCAATTTATTCAATTTTTCTATATCAAAAAGTTTAAAAAGTATCTTACATATTTGTGTTGTACTATCGACTGCTCTATTCTACTATTATCGACATAAAAACCATTTTAATAATATACTCATGTCAATACGTCAAAATAAGGCTAAATGGCAACATCGTTTTCTTCGTATGGTTGTAATTCAAGAGAATGATGATGAAAATGTTGCTACTAATCTTGTCAATGAGTTTTCTGATATATTACGTCAGTCATTTGAACAGAAAACAAAAGACATTATTGGAAAATGTATTGAAAATGAACTACTTACACTGAATCGATATTCTATTATGAAAGAACTCGATGATGCAGTGTATGAAGCTACAAATGATTGGCTTCTGCGCTATGTTCTCTATCCAATGCAAGTAATTATCGAACGATTTGATCAACGATGGGAAAAAATCGAAACAATAATCCATCAACGGTTCAACATCAGTATGAATTCACATTTAGAAATAGTAATGGAATTCTTTCGCATCGTAGAAGCAATCAAAATTGGATTGAGATTAAAAGGTGGAAATTCATTGACTTTTGTCGATGATCTATTCGATAAGAAATTATGTATGGCTACACTTCTTTATCAATATCTTTCAGGTGAATCTATTTCGACGCAGATAACTATTAAAAATGGTTTGACTTATATAGTTCAATCGAAGGGACAAGAAATTATCAATAATATACCGAAATTAAGCGATCAACTGAAAGATATATTTTGTTCAATGAAGACAATATTTGAAACGTATACGATCACTTACATTGACTTTTTTCTCGATAAAATCATCAATTAAAAAACAACCATGGAACAAGCCCTACCAAATTGCATGACTACTTTTATTGAAAACAGTTGCCGTAATACGCGAGAACGACAACTTATTCAAGTACATGGCTGTCAAGAAAAGTGTCCTTGTTGTAAGCGTTTATGTAATATTGATCATCGATTGGACAATGCTACGCCTGTGGGTCAAGAAGAGAATAGACATTGATGTCAATCTGGTCATTAGATTCGAGGTATGGATGGCGTACGATATGAAATAATCAATGAAGCATCGACAGTATGGTGTTAAATAATCAAAGATGAAGATCCTATTGTTACTAGTAGAGATGGACGACAGACATGGTTAGATTTCAAAAATGCTCATACGAATTGCGATTTTGGTGATCCGAGAATTCGAGAAACTCAAAAAACGCCCTATACCTATATATGGAATTCCAGTCAATCATTTTATTCTTCTACTCGATCATTCCGGTTCTATGAATGATTCAATTTTTAAACAGATATCTCGTCTATTGATACCGAGCAGCATGACTACTACGACGACGAGTGATTCTCATCAAATAGATTTGAGTCCATGGGAACATTTGCTTAAAGCTGTAAGAGAATTTATTCACATTCGAATTCAAAAAGTATGTCATACTGATCAAATGACCATTATTGTTTTTGGTAATAGTGCGACACGAATTTATAATCGAGAAAAACTAAATCACATTGATATGGATCGGCTTAATATACCGATGTCAATGTGTGGTCAAGGTACTAACTTTTCAGTTGCATTTGCTAAGCTTATCGAAACGCTAAACGAAATTAAAAATGATTCAACATGCAATAGTCTTCGACAAACAATCATCTTTCTAACGGATGGAGAACCTCAAGTTTATCCAACGTCTGAATTAGAACGTTTATCTACCGATTACAAATCAATGATCACTGATTTTTGGATAATGGGTTTTGGTAATTATAATAAGAAAGTTCTCCAACAAATAAATGAGAAAATGCAAGGCAAGCTAACAGACATTGAAAAACCGGAAGATCTTATAGAAGCATATGCTGAGATTGCCGACTCTTGTGATACAAATTTATCTTGAAAATGATCTCATATTGTCGTTCAAATCTACATGACTGTTCATGATTAATTTTATGTTTTTTTTTTTATTAAATACATACGATCATAATTGAACTACAGTAAGATAGACAATTCGAAGGATAGAGAGAAGATATCAAAGATGTATTCAATAATCAACTACATTTGACCTTATTGAACTTGTATATTCTAGCAATTAAAGAAGTACTCATTTTGCAATTAATACATGTAGGTTTACACGAAAGAGAAATTGTGTTGACAATCACAATTCAATACCATGTCAACGTTGCCATCAAATGTCGCAACTTGTGCGTATTCAATAAGAGAAAAAGAGAAAAGTAAATTTGATCAATGTATTGCTTTTTGTTGCATATGTGTTAACAGGTGAGAACACGTAATTCATTATTTTCTTCTTCATCTGATTGTCGTTCCACGTGTATTTCTTCTTGTTGTTTTCATAATAGAACTGCATTCACTTGATCAAATACAATTGTTAAAAGTGAGTACAGATGATCAATAAATTACTGTCATCGATTTTAATAAGTTTGAATAGTTTTATTGAATTCGAGAAAAATAATTGTAAAGCGATGATGAAATCAATTCGTTTTCTTGCAATTTTTGACAAATGCAAATGATGTTTCAACCAGAGCTGCCACCTCTTCTGCTTTTTAAAGTTTCTTCTGTTTTTTTTCTGTGGTTTCTGCTTTTTTTGATACGGCGTTATTTATCATTTCAATCAACGTTTTTCACCTGAAATACCTTCGTATCCATAAGTATTAAAAACAACTGTATTAAAGACTACTGATATTTTTGTGCCATTCTAATTCGTTCTATTTGATACAGATGATTTTTATTTTCTACTGACTACAAACAACTACTAACCTACATATTTGGCTTTAAATCATTTCTTTACCTATGGCTTTCTATAGCATTTTAGTTACTCATGTAATTCATATACATCAACATATATATTCTTTCGTTTGTTTACTCAATGAACATGAATAATTAATATGATCAGTGAGAGGAAAAAAATAGAAAAAACAGCTCTAGATATTAATGGCAGCTCGACTAGCAAAGAAGGTATTCACAAAGTAATGGTAGCTGCTGAAGTAATAATTATGTCACAAGGAGCTAAACCAGAAAATAGAAATTGAATAGAGTTATCTTCAATAGAAAACGGTTAAAAGTCGTCGAATATTAATAATCTTTGAAAGAATATAAATTTGATTCGTCTCAACTAACATTTATCGTTCGTCATCAACAATTTTCCGAACATTGCTAATAAAAAGATAATATTACTAATCCTATGAACAATAAGAAACAATAAAATTTTAAATGCTATGATTTAATCAATAATTAATTTGAATTTCTCATTATCACATACTGTAATGGATAAATATTCATTAGGTAAAAAATATTTGTCAAAAGCTCTTAAATCAGATGAAGGGTACTCCTTAAAAAAGAAAATACGTTCAATGATTCTGTCTATTTGTGAATTAGTTACGTTTTGTGATGCCATAAAATACGAGTGATTAGTATACTGAAGCTAAAATTTAAAACTAACGGTAGCTCGTAATAAAAGAGTCTCAGTATTTTGTTAACATCTTAAGCCTTATCTCATCGCTCACGCTTTATTTTTTTATCAAAAGATTCACCGTCTGATTCTGCAGAAATTAGTATATTTCGCTGTAAAAAACACTTATCTCTCTTTCAACATCATCATGATTTAAAACAAGCATTACACACAACTTTCAAAGTCTTCATTTTTTCAATTTTTTTCCAAAATGTCCAGTTTCTCAATTAATCCTGTTCGTTTGGGTATAATTTGTTCGCCACTCAAGAGATAAATTGGTTCATTTCAATCAACGTACCAAAGGCAATTTATTTTATTTCTGGATAAAGAATATGGCACGACCAATCATAATAAAACTAACCTAAGGACTGGATGTTTTTGGAAAAAATTGAAAAAAATAGAGATTCTGAGAGCTGTGTGTAGTGCTGTTTTTAAATCGTGGTGATGTCGAAAGAGAAGGAGATAAGCATTTTTACAACGAAATATGCAATTTGCGCAGAAGAAGATGGTGAATCTTTTGATAAAAAAAATAAAGCGTGAGCGATAAGATAACGCTTTAAGATGTTAACAAAATACTGGGACCCTCTTTTATTACGAGCTACCTGTTATTTTCATACCATAAACATATTTTCTGCTGTTTTTCTGCTTTTCGAATTTCGAAAGGTGGCAGCACTGGTTTCAACTGAGTTTTCAATGTCTTGCTTAAACATTGTTTCTTCATCTTTTCAGAAATATCGAAGAATTTTCGGTGTTTGCCATGGCAACAGACGAAATTACACAACGCATTCTCCGCATCTCGGACATTGATAATGAACCTCAAGAGATACTCGCGCCAATTCATAGCTATGATCAAATGCCATTGATGTCACTTGAAGAAGCCGTACAACCACTCGTTCCTATTCTACCTGCAGTACAAGATTATGCTTATATGGCCAAAGAAAAATGCAAGAAACCTGAAGATGGTTTGACACAAGATGAGTCAGCTTCGATTATGCTCTACTCGATGGGATGGGAACCACTCGAACAATGTCTATATTTTGCTTTGAATGCCGCACTTCGATCAGCAGATAGACAAAATCTTGATCCATGGTACCTCTATCTCAAATTGATTCTAACTGCACTCTCACGTCTACAATCTCAACATCGATTTGTCTATCGAGGCGTTAAAACAGATTTGAGTGATCGCTATCGAAAAGGTGAGAAAATTGTATGGTGGGGATTTTCCTCATGTACTATCTCAATTGATGTACTACAATCTGAATTATTTCTGGGTAAAACAGAAACAAGAACGATGTTTACTATTGAATGCAATTCAGGCAAAGATATTCGTAATCATTCCTTTTTTTCAAATGAAGATGAAATACTTCTTCCTGCTGCTATCCAATTTAAAGTTGTTGGTTGTCTCGATCAAGGCCCTGCTCTTAAAGTGATTCAACTGAAAGAAATTGAGTCACCCATACCACTAATACAACCAGTGACACTTGCTGTTCATTCGAATGCAGCATTATCTAGTAAGTAAAACAAATATTTCTTCAATTACGATACATTTAATTAGATCCCATTTGACAAAACTTAGATGATTGTCGGAAATAAGCTGTTGAACCATAACCAGACATGAACTATTTTCATATGAGAAAATCATCGATATTCTTCTTTCGATATTTTTGAAAACCCTTTCAGAGTTAGCAAACATATTAAAATTCATTCATAAGTAGAAACAAATCTTGAATCACGAAGATATGAGATGACTACTACTAGCTCATCATTTGTTCGAATCGCTTTGAAACGTGGAAACAGCACAAAAAAAATCATAAGAGAATCGGTATGTAACATTCAAATGTGAGATCAATATCTCTCATCGAAGGGGTATTTCTTCTATTCTCTGAGACTCAAAATTGGCAAAAACTTTTCTCATCAATTTAATATAATTAGATACTAAATTGACTCTACTTTCTTCTCACAGATTCACTTCTCAAAAATTTTTTCAATTAATCAGTCTTCATACGAGGAAAGACGTTTAATTCCTCTCATTTTTCTTCTTTCAGAACTCAACGAAAATAAAAACCAAACACAACTCAAGCAATTGATCGCACAATGTCAACCTCGTTCCAAAATAGATTTGTGCTCCAAACAATTGGATGATGAAGACATAGAGATGGTGGTCAAACAGGCCATCATCAACAAACAATGCATATTGTTTGATTTAGGAGGAAACAAGATTACATCAGTCGGTGCCTCGATTCTTGCCGATGCTTTACTCGACAATAACACATTGGAAACATTGAATCTTTTCCATAATTGTGTGTCTGATATGGGAGTCCAGTATCTTGCCAAGATACTCTCTACTAATAATCACACTCTCAAAGAACTTAGCCTTTCACAGAATGGCATAACTGATACGGGAATGGAATATCTTGTCAAAATGCTTAAGACAAATCGAACATTGACTCAGTTATGGCTAACTGGAAATGATATAAGTGATCGAGGAGTTCGATTATTGGCCAAGGTACTTGAGAATGATAACGTCACTCTCAAAGAACTATATCTTTCATCAAACAAGTTGATAACTGATTTGAGTGTTAATTCACTCTGTGATATAATCAAGCGTCATCAAGCACTGAAGAAACTCTATATGTATGACTACAATTTGTCTGACATGAGCAAAGACAGACTTCGAAAGATAGCCATGTCAAAAAAGAGCTTGCGTATCGCACTTTAGAAGTTGAGTTGATGAATAAAAATTACCTGTAATGAGAGTTATCTTGCTATATCTAAATGTAGCACATCATGAGTGTGTGGAGAAGTAATTAAATGGAATTACTGTTTTAGCATTTCCTACTAATAAGATCTCGATAGAAAAGAGTGTGGGAGTAGTGAGGTGTAGGTATGGGTGGGTGTGGGTGTGAGCGTGAGTGAAGATATCTGTTATGATGAGTCACACACACCCACACTCTTTTTCGAAAACGGCGAGTCTGTCAATGCTTTCTTTCCAAAGATCTTTGATATGAAATTTTAAAGCCAAGCTGGCCGCACCATATAAAAAAATTCATGTTTTTTATTTTAATAATCAAGTTCAAGAAAAAACGTGTAGAAAATTGCATTTATTGATTTTTCTTTGAATGTACATAATAGATAGAGAGTATTGCAATGAATTTACCAAATAAAAAAGAATAAAAATGTTTAGTTGTAGACATATCTTTTATATCTTATTTTTGTAACAGAGATCTGCTTTATGTCTAGTATTAAAAAGAAGATAGTTTTTAATATGTAAGCCGTTCTTCATACATTACTACTAATCAAATCATTCATATTTATAGAATAGATCCGTAAAATTTTTTTATCTTGTAAGTTAACAAATCTCACTACATTACTCTTTGGTGTACAGTAGTAAAAATAAATATACACTTGCAATATATACATGTAGAAAAAAA